CAACCCCTTAGCATTACAGGCATAGCTTGGACTACACATGCAAGTGGCGCAGAGCCTGCCATTAATTATGCTCACAGAGGTGGAGCACTTAAGTTTCCTACTACAGATAACCCTGTCACTTGCTCTAGTGAAATATAAGCCATGTGATTTGCACAAAACAAATACAAGATTCGATGGTCTACAGAAGTGGCATTTTGTAGCATGGGATAGGAATTCTAGTACTAATTTACAAGTCTGAAGAAAAAAAGAATTACAACGTAAAACAAATTGCCACGTTGCAAAAGAAACAGTCTATATATTGCCAGTGATAATTAAAAAAAATATCGCACATGCACTTTTAAAAAGAAGTTAATTTAGTGCTTATGAGCACTGTGCTCACTCAAGTCTGTGCTGACTCAGGAGAATGCAATCCCCCGTTTATCCATGGAACAGGTTTTCCTCCAACAGCTGATTCCTCCTACTTGCTCAAAACTCTTTCTGGCCTCTCCAGCAGCAGCAAAAACAAAGCTGTCAGTTGTCCTGGCAGCCAGCTTCAGCATGTAATAATGTTTTTAAAATAATAACGACTTGGAATATTAACAGCATACACCTTAATAAACAGGCTCAGGAGCAGAAATCGCAACCCAGCTCTGCTGAGGCGGCAGCTGGATCGCATTTGGCGGGAGGGAGCAGACGCAGCGAGCACCAGCGAGCTCAGGGCGAGGGACTGAACTTTGCCCCATTTACTGCGCTCACGTACCGCAGCTTCGGGAGAGGGACTGGAACAAAACGGTCCCAGCGCTCACAGTCAACAAGGTATTTTCTTCACATTTAACGCTTGTAAGTGACACGTTTCCAGCTCAGGATCCAAACCAGTGGAATACGTAGCACCAAAAAGAGGATTTTTTTTTTTCTGCCTCTCAGCGAGCACCTTAGTCCTTCATTAAACATATCCGTGAAGGAAAAGCAAAGCCGGGCAGCAAATAAACCTCATTTAACAGCTTTCCTGTGCTTCCTGCAGTGCCTGTGACACTACAGTTCTTGACTTGAGGCATTTAAAAGTGTCTAACACCACAACAACAAAATATATCTAAAAGTAAATATTTGATGATTTCTAAACCACAAAAAAAGTTAAAAGGTTGATCTAGAAATATTTTTAAATTATCTTAGAAAGGCAAGAAATGGGACCACAGCTGAAGTGAAAGAAAAAGGAAAGCTGCATAGAAAACTAAGTCTCCACTAATTCCCAGCCTTAAATTGCCCCACACAAGTGTAACGCTTAGATTCCCTGTTAGTTCCTCTAAAATGGTTTATTAGACTGATACAGGCTAGGAAAGCTGACATGTACCCTCCAGCCCCCCAGTCACCTACTCACAAGATACAAAATACCCCTCTACTGCTTCTCAGAACACTCTGAAATATTTTTCCATCATTTACGTGACCTCATCCTTAAGGACACTTTTGAAAACAACGTTCGATGCCTTCTGACTCACAGCCAGTGGTTTCACTGGCAGCCAAACATGTGCACTCCAAAACACTCTCTACAATCTAAATTGCAAATACAGTATGAGTATATCAAGTTCCCTTTACAGTTTATGGCTTCATATGTGAGGGGAAAAACCACTCGAAAATAAACAGAATCACAGCTATACCCTACCTTATGGAAAGGACTTCAGTTATAGAAGGACTGTGAATGTTTTGTCCAAAAAGATAGCCCAACTGTCTATTTGTGCTTCAATAAAGCTAAGCAAACAGCTTTCAGCAAGAAACAGAGGAGATCTTTTACTGGCAGTGGGTAAAAAAAGCTAGTAAAAATTCAAAGTAAAAGGAAACACAGAGGGGAGGAAAAAAATCCCAAACCTTTTTATCCCCTGAAGTACACGATGGAATAAAAAAAAAATCTTCTGTTTCAGAATTCATAATTACCCTCATATCTTCTCTCTCCCTTTCGCCTTTCTAAGCTAATTTCAGAGCTCTCTGAACTTCTGCCCCAAGGCAAAGGCACGAAGCAAACTTCCACTGGAAAACTACCCTGTCTCTTCTGTGTGGCAGAGCACAGCTGTGGAAGGAAAGGGTGTGCTCTCTTTCAAGTCTCATTATTAGCACTCGTATCTGTTAAATATAAACCCTCCCTCCTGCACAGCTCGAGTGATCGCGCTGCGCATTTCGATGCCTTTTGCTCGTCTGTACCAGTTGTCTGGGTGGTGCTCTCTCTCAGGTGCCCCCAAAAGAGGAACCTCCCAAGCTATCTGGTTTCATCATCCCTGAAATCACTGAAGATTTAAATTTAGATGACTGGGGTCATCAAATTGAAGAGTTAGAAGCTTTCCTCCCTCTTCCAAATGCTACAGTTCCAGGTTGTTTTAGGGGAACGACCACATTTGTCTCAGCTCCGCTGCACTGAGAAGAAGCCCCAAGTGTAGCTCACACAAGGTATATGGAGCACACTACACAAGCCGTGTAATGACTGTGGGGAAGGAAAAAAGACAGATCATCTGCCATTTGCTTTTTAACAAAATATCACTTGATGTTAAAAAGGACCCAATTCTTATTAAATAATGACAGATGTGCTTTTTAAGAAGATTGCTGTTATTCTTAAATACCAATCAGCAAGTAGAGACAGCAAGACAGATTACAGGGCAATGAAAGCAATCACACGTGCGATTCAAAGTTAAATACAGAGGAAAGGAAGCTGGTATAGATGTCATATTCCTGGTTACAACCTTTATGATGAAGGCTTGAAAAAAAATCCTAGTGCCAGCACTTCTGGACAAGTTTTGGCAGAAACAGCTGCCAGGATGGAGGAGGAGGAGGAGAAAGCTTGACAACTTGAGCTTTGTGAACAAGGTGAGGCTTACTGATTTGGGGGTTACGAAGACTTTGAACCTCGGCAGCGGCAGAATGTTACGTATTCGGACAACACCCAGCCAGTGCTGTACAGGAACTGAAGTGATAACAAGTGATAATGATTATTCGTATTGTTTGCACTGCAACAGCATACAGGAGCCTCAGTCACAGCTGAAGGCCTCACTTTACTGGCCACTGAACAAATAAAATAAAACGACAGTCCCTGCCCCAGCAGACCTATAGGGAAAGAAAAAAGAGACAAGGTACATCAGAGCACAGGGAAATAACAGCGTAATATTTCTCAACATGTCGTGAGCCGCATGTACAACTTACCAAAGGCCACAGCCGGGCTATTTCTCATTAATTAATGAACGTTCGGCTGCAATTGCGTAACTATTCAACATCCTTCCTACATCCACATCAGAGAACTTCCATCCGAACAGTGAGGCTTCTTGCCTTAGCAGACTAGTGCAGGGGGACACATCATCATCAGAGAGAGTGCTTGGAGTTGGGCTTGGGTGTTTTCATTCCCCCACTTCTCTTTAAAGTGACCATCATCTAAAGCTTTAGAAATACATCCTCACTATTATGATGCACTAGATTAGCATTTGGATGGTCAGCAGATGAGCAATGAGTTACAGTGGCACGGCTTCTATTAATTCCTTCATGGCCAGAGGCCTGAGATGATGTGGTTATTGCTCCCAAACTCAGCCCACTGAGCCCACAGCACAGGTAACCCATCAGGTATCCATACATGAATTTCTAGGTTTCTCCTTTTTACGTAAAAATTTCATTAACTAATTTTGGTCTTTGGGACCTGCTCTTTATTTGGCATTTCCTGAAAAGATCCAGAAGGTTTTTCTTTCAAGTTCATTATTTTTCCCCTCCTCTGTCTTTCTAGTCCTGAAACATGAGGAAAAAATCTTTATTTCTCCTTCTTTGAAAGAATGCCTTGAGTTTTAATCATTTAATCCTTGTTACAAAAACAATTAAGCACACACCTGTTCCTAGCTCTCAAATAAGTAGTAAGATGGTAAAAAAGTCCAAATCAAAATACCTGCTTGTAGATCTGAGAAACAAAATCTAGAATCTGCCTTGTGGCACAAAAAAGTGCGTCCCCTTCTAGTGCTTAACAGCAAAGTAAATTGATACGCAGGGAATAGATCAGTAAAGTCGTATGTTGGGCAAGGTAAACTACCAGTTCATCTGTGTTGATAATGACAGGCTTACAGAATAAGCCTCAAACATTGTATTTGTTCTACTAGCTAAGTGTTACGGAGAGTTTAGTGTGACACATTTCCCAAGGAGCAAGAGATCATACGCTTCCGCAAGCACCGAGAGAGAAGACAGATATCCTTTCAGGATAGCTATTCAAGAGAAAACAAACCAAAACAACAACAACAAACCCCCCATCTCACCACATAATTCAGCACAACCGCTCCCATTTCTATTAATAACTGGAATTCTTCTTAAAAAAAACCCACCAAACTCTCCATAGCTGAAAGACAGAAAAATCACTAATTAACACTCCTAAGCAGAAATTCAGATTTCTAACCAGAGGTGCCCAGTGCCATTTCGGTATCCCTGACCCAGCAGGTATGAGACAGGACCATGTAAGGACATGCACAGCCTTCTGGAGCAGGGGCTGAAAGCTAAACAGGAAGCCCGCGAGCTTCTAAAAAAATACACTAGACTAACCATAAAGGATGAGATTTGGCTGCTTAACATCAAATGGGTTTATACAAAAACAAAACAAAAGAACCTTTGTGCATAAGGCTCACTTCCAGCCATTAGACTTAGAAAGTTTCTCTGATCCTAATGCAGGAAAAGATGAAGCTCATTCTGCTTCACACCATCAGTATAATGCCTCAAGGCACAGTTATCGTCCTGCCCCAATGAAATAAGCACTCTGAAAAATGAATGAAAACGTTGCAAGATGATGACCACGGTTTCATGTCTACCTGAAGCCAGTACAAGCCTGTCCTGCTGTTGCCTGAAGTGTTCCCACATACTTTACATAGCCCCACCACACACAGCATCCCCTCCTTTGCCCAGGCACAAGGGACTGCATAGCAGCACAATGAATCGGATCTGAATTAAAAATTGGTATCTCCCCTCCTCAAGCCAGGTTACTTTTAGCCTGGATGAGGTCCCCAATGTAGCTGCCTGCTCAGCTACGGGAATGCTTGTACTCGGACGAAGGAGGTGGCAGCATGGGAGCAGGCGTAAGAATACTTCTTCAAAATGACAGTCTAAAAAGTAGCAGAGTGAAAGGAGGGTGTACAAGCATGCCCAAAGCCTCGGCGCAGGTCCTCGTGTACAAGTCCCATCCGTGCTCTGAACTGACAGGGCACAAACTCTCCCTTGTCCAGAGGCTGTTCAGAGACACGTCTGTAACCGCACCTGCTCCAGCAACCCTTTCTTCTTCCTAGGAAAGAGGCGGTCCAAATCAGACAGCATGTTCAGCCCAGCAGCCTGATTCGACACAGGAACATAATGTCATACGCTGTGATCAAAACCGTAAAGGGCTTACGGGGAGGGGGGGAAATCTGGTTTAGTCAGATGGAACTTGAGCTGATGACTGAACCTTGAATAGCCGTTCATACCTGCGGTCCACATAAGTAAACAAAGTCACTGAACTTACCCCGGTTAAAATTATACCCAGTTGTAAAAAAAAAAAAAACCAAACAACACAACCCCACCCTGACCTGCTATGAAATGTCTCTGTGTCTTCCCCACCCACCCTGATCTGCTATGAAATGTCTCTGTGTCTTCCCCAAAGGTCAAAAATGAATCTTTCACTTTATGCCATCGTTTTCTTTTGCCCAGACCAGTCACTGTTATGCATGGTATTAAGACACTTGTATTAAAATGCTAGCTTCCTTAATTCACACTTGTTTCTCTGTGCAAGTTTGTACATAGGCCAGCCTTTAATATTGTAGCATTTTTTTCTTCCTTAATCAAAGCCTTGTGCGTGAGGACACTGACACACAATAACTTGGTATTATTCAGCCAAATCAGAACACCCTATGTTCAACAAACAGAAGTATAAAACAGATTTTACAAATCTATGACATACACACCAGAAATATTTCACAAGTGATTTTCATTTCAAATCTTTGATTACCCTCTTTCTCTGGAAAACAATGCTCTTGGGCAGATTGGCTTAAACAGCAACAAAGCACACAACTCTCACTCTAATGCGCACATACACTTCCGCAGGAAAGAAAGAACTGGAGAAAATAAGAGTTCAATAGCATTCACTATCAGCTTCTAAATACTGATAAAGAACCCTTGGAAAAGAGCATTTCTGAACATACGGCAGCACTACAGCACTGCAAACCCTACCTACTTCCCCCTGCTCTGTCTATACTACTGAGGAAACTCCGCTACAGTGAAGTCAATGGACATTTTGCTACCAATTCTTAAATGATAAAATACCTCCAACAGCGTGCAAACATATTAGCAAAGTCATCTCTTCCTGCTGCCTGCAGGATAATGGTACAAAGGACTACCTGGCTTAAAAAGTTAACTGTGGTACCGAGAAATCAAAACTAAGCCTATTTTTCTAAGGCACTGCAAGTCAAACTGCAAACAGATCCAAAGGCATATGCGGATGCAAGGAAGAAACCCTGGGGAGATGTGTCTCGAGCAGAAAGTGAAGCTGCTTCAAATGCCAAACAGCTGGGCTGGATGGCCCTTGGAAAGGAGATGCCACCACACAGCGTAGGTGAACTGCGCTTGCACTGAACATCTGTAACAATACGTCAAATGTTTTGGTCCAGCTTTTATTTCTCGTTTCCATACCATTGCTAATAATAAACTGCCAGATGGCAACTGGGAAGAGTGCATTGTGTGACCTTCAGTTGCTGAAGCAGAATGAACTTGGGGGAATCCTGTCGCTGACAGACAAACACATCCACTAGAAGATGCCAAATGTTTGCACTGCCAGAGCTACTTAAGGTGGAAGAAAACTACTCATCCATCCGGATCGGTGGATTTCCTAAGTCTGTGAAGAGAAGCAACATAACCTGAACACAGTAAGTCAACTTCATGCAACACAAAATTTAAGGTTCTTTTTCCAAAAAAGTAAGAAGCCTGTGTCTGTGTTCTCTTCCATGGTTTTTTGGAAACACCCAAGACACACCTTTATGTTAAAAAAAAAGGGAAAGAACTAAAGTTCCCTCACTTCCTTGCTCAGAAAATACTCATTGTTTGGATGAGCCACTAAATTAACTTCAGCTGTAGAGAAAATGACTCATTAAACAGAACAATCAAAAATTTCACTGGAGAGAGGGGGAGGAGGTAAGGAGGAACTTTAACCTTCCCCCTCTCCTGCCAAATAAATGACCCAGTAGTTTGAAAAAAAACAAACAGAACACAGTAACACTTCTTAATAAATAAGGCTTAAAACAGAAAGCTACAGAAAATTGAGGCAAAGAAAAAAAAATGCCAAGCTACAGATGACTGTAATAGCTCTTGGAGCATTTTAATCCTCCAACTGTACTCAAATACATCTGGAAACGTTGCACAGAGGAGCAGAAAGGCAGAGCTATCTTTAAGAGGTTACTTCCTAACGTAGATCATAACGTTAGAAGTTCAACAAACAGTTAAGAGCAAGTTTTGTTTTTACAGTCACGCATCTGCCGGACAACATGCATTCAGTTTTGTATCGCACCACAGGGGACAATATGCAAAAGATTTTTTTAACAAAAGAACAAAAATTTTCTTCCCCAGACTCATCGGAGTTGCTACAAGATCAGCAGCAAATGTTTCAGGGAGACTGATGTTTCCTTCTATTGGAGTCAGTTACTTACTGAATCCTCCTATAATCACTAAATTTGAATGCGAATTGGGGGCAGAAAGGGAGGAACAGAAGGGATGTCTCATATGACATCTTGAGTAACTGTATCAGAAGGTCTGAAAGGCAGCTGTCTGAAGCCACTACATACATTTTTCATTTTCACCTGAAAATGTTGTCCACGTGCATATGACCTTATCTAAACTAGAAAGGCTAGTGTGTCAGCATGGATTTTGGTTTTGGTGGTAAAGGTTTGTTTGAGAAGATGACTAATATAGACAGCTAAACTAGCATGAATACTAAAGCAGCAGGTGCAGGTTTGCCAGTAAAAGCAGCCTTTTCTCAGATACAGCTTACTGTATTTCACCTGAACCAAAACAAGCCATAATGGAGAAGTTTTTTTTTCAACAGCATAAATACACCTATACTGCATTCACACTTAAAAGCAGTACCTCCAGGGCAAGTGAAGAAGCAAACCCATTTCGATAAAACCCCTCTGATTCTAACCCAGCATACCTGCGAAGGCTTCTGGGGCTGAGGGACTGGTGGTACAGCTGGTTCTGGCCAACTCGCGGCTGATCAGGATCATACCTCACTAAAGGCACAGTTTCACAGCAACTGTGCAGGCAGGCAGTTTCAAACACAGTTTTTGCAGTTGGCAAAAGGAGAACCCAGGCCAGAAGCAGCAGTAGTGTAGGCCAAGACAACTGTGCTTTCAAGGAGAGTATAAGGCACTAATGACATAAGGTGTTCCACTTGAAGTTTTAAATAACCCAAGTCCAGATTGGGGGAAAAAAAGGAGTTTAAATGCTGCCTGAAAGAATATTGCAGATGAGGTCTCACAGTTGGTTTTAACCAAACTAGGAGCAAGCTGCTGCCTAGAGAAGTGGGCCGGCATTCCCTCCTAAATACATTTCCAAGTGCTCCCCTGCACCATCACCTGTGAGCAACCACAGGTGATGCCTAAACCAACTCTCCAGAGGAATACACAGTCAAGGAGAGAGCAACTCCAGGGTGGCCTTCAATTACTTCAAGCTGGTGGCAAAGCTGCGCCCTGCATTCTGCTCCTAAAGTGGAACGATGACCCGTACTTATCACAGCTCTTTCTGGCCTTAAATCTGTCACACGTACCTGCATGAACCGAGCCTAAAGACTCGGAACAGAGAAAGTCGTGACAATGGTAGAAGTTGTAAGTATGACTATAGGATATGCAGATAAAGCCAGAGACGTGAAAACAGATTCTAGGTAGTGATTTGTATCATTCCTGACTTCACAAAAACAAAACAAAAACCTTCAAAAAGTTACAGTGAAGATCAGTAAGAAGCTACTATAAGAGTGTATCAGTTAAAAACACAAACAGGTTGCAAAGCTCTAGAAACAACAGGAGTCCTATAACGCAAGGGCTATCATTACGTGTTCTGTAGTCCTGTTTATTCTAAGCATATAGCAGTCCTGCTAATAGTCTTTTGCTTTTACCTGTTCCTTCAACCTAAATGCAAATGCTGAAATGCGACCCAAATCCATAAAGCACAATTAACATCACAGGAGTTATTTGATAAAGGAATAAAAGCTGATGAGGTACTTTAACAAACATAGAAGTAAACAAGCTTGGATCAAGACTGATCAAACATCTCGCCAATCTTCAGGAGAAGAATTTTTGGAAAAGATTAAAAACCCAAGGTAGGCGATAAATTAGACATTGAATTACGGATCGTTTTGTAGCACTTTAGAACTAACTCATTACTATAGCTAATTAAAATTAACGGGGACTTGCTATTAATTCAAACAGAACAGTGTAGTAACAGCTTACAGGAAAAAAAGGAAAAAAAGTTAAAGGGACACATTCTAAAATGAGGCATGTTGCCCTAGTCCCATTGACTTCAAGTAGGTACAGCAACTTACATCAGCTGAAGATTCCTCCCCTTCCCCGCCAAGATGAGAAATACTTCATAGCACACTCATGCAGAAGGATCATCATTCAAACCTTCCTCCAAAATATGTTTACACAAATGTTACCAACATCTTATACAATTTTTTTCCCTCTAACAATTCTTGGCACATCAGTGCTGCAATCCCACAACGTTATCAGCGTTAAGTAACTTCATTCATACCTATGTTTAAAATTTTATAACAGCCTATCAAGCTAAGATATCATGAATCATTCAAGCCATTAAAGCCCAATTACATCAGCTGAAATCTGATCTTCCCAGAATTATTCCAATTTCTCCTCCTGCTCACTCGGCCCCCGTACCCCTTCCTACACAACTTTGCCTTCTCTAACCTTGTGAAACTTCTCTTACAGAAGACCCACTAACTGGCCAGCCATTTTACACAGCCTGCCTGTCACTCTTACCCTTCAATACATTTAACCACCATCTCTCTCTACTTGTGGTTTTGTCCTCTCCTCTCACCCTCCCAACCTCCTACCATTTCATGCATTATCTGCTCCTCCTCCTCTGGATCAGACAAGGTCCTGTAACCAGGTCTTTTCTGTGCCTACGCTTTATTTCTGCACGATCATATCGGTTCAAATATATTTAATTATCATGTATATACTGACACTTGGCTTCACGGTGGATTAATTCAAATTAAAGTGGTTAAAATAATCAGATTTAGATTAGCAAATGAGGAAACTTATCTTTTTATGTTCTTAATGGTCATTCTCGAAGAGCGA